ATCGAAATAAAAAAAAACATTTTAAAAACAACTGAATAATTGTTTGTTTTTCAGGTTTCCCGTGCCATATGATCATAAAATGCCTTTGTTTGAGTGAAATGTTGTAATGCTTAAACTAAGCTCATGGTTTCATATTTCAAATCAATAAACCTACTAATGGTTTACTTGTGGTCACTCTGAATATTAAGTGTGTGTGTGTGTGTGTGTGTGTGTGTGTGTGTGTGGTGTGTGTGTGTGTGTGTGAGAGAGAGAGAGTGTGTGTGCGCGTGTTTGTGTGTGTGTGTACTTGTTTATGCACCATTGTGAGGACCAAATGTCCCCACATGAGGATAGTAAAACCTGAAATTTTGGACATTGTGGGGACTGGCCTGCGGTCCCCACTAGGGGAAAAAATAGTAAAAAATAGTAAATGATGTTTATCTGAAAGTGTAACAGTGCAAACAGGTTTTGTGTAAAGGGTAGGTTTAGGGTTAGAGGATAGAAAATATCGTTTGGTCAGTATAAATGTAATAGGAGTCTATGGAAAGTCCCCACAATTCACAGAAACAAACGTGTGTGTGTGTGTGTGCAGGACGTGGTGGTGGTGGGTGAGGAGAACTTCACCACTCCCTGCTATATCCAGATGGACGAGGAAGCGTGTCACATCCTGACGGAGACGCTGGGCACATACTGTCTGGTGGGTCAGTCGGTCAGCACCGCCGCCGCCAAGAGACTGAAGCTGTCCATCTTCGGCCCGGTCAGCTGCACCGTCCTGGAGTACAACATCCGAGTCTACTGCCTGGACGACACACAGGACGCGCTCAAGGTCAGCAGAGCAACAACACACCAGTTTGGTCACATTGTGTTGCTCACGCAGCTTTACAGCCCACTGACTCCTTCATAAACCGTCTTGTCAGGTCACACATTAGGAAGTCTGATTCACTTTAGTGAATCTCTTCATTCACATTCCTGCAAACTAGATGGCACACTGACGCTCACATCTGCATGTAAACATGTCGTCGGCGTGGAAGTTCTTCATTGTGAGTGAAGCAGACACAAAGTTCGCAATTTGTAATACAATATTGACTGTTTTTGCTCAAGTTCGCTGACGAAGTTTCAATCAAAGCCACAGCAGGAACTGAATGAATCCACATTTTTGAACAAATCGAGTGAGACAATGATTCAGTAACCCATTCACAAAGACAGTAGTCACTTACCTCGTTTCTGAATGAATCAGCCGTTTGAATGAATGACTAATGACTCGCTCATTAAAACAGTAATTTACCATCATCTACTGGTTAGTTGCATTTTTAATAATAATAATAACAACAGATTGTTATATTAGATTGTTATTAATATATACATAATTTAATATGTAAAATATATTTATTTTTATTTTATATTTTTTAGTTTTATTACTTGTATTAGTGTAAATTTATTAATTTAAGCAGACTGCAGTAGTCAACATAGACTAACCAACAATATGCAAGAACAATATGCATATTTATAAAAGAATCTTAGCCAAGATTAATGAATACTGTTAAAATATAATATTAGTTAACTAAGAATGTGAACAACTTAACTCTGAAGTGTTCTGTTAAAGTGAACTGCTTTCTGCTGATAGTTTGTAGTTGAACTCTGTTGACTTCAGAAGTTCAGCACGACTTGTTTATTTACTTGAAACCATGAGCCTTTAACTCGCCAAACTAACATTTCACAGTCGCTTCATCAACACACTGTGTGAGTGAGTGAGTGAGTGAGTGAGTGAGTGAGTGAGTGAGTGAGTGAGTGAGTGAGTGAGTGAGTGAGTGAGTGAGTGAGTGAGTGAGTGAGTGAGTGAGTGAGTGAGTGAGTGAGTGAGTGAGTGAGTGAGTGAGTGAGTGAGTGAGTGAGTGAGTGAGTGAGTGAGTGAGTGAGTGAGTGAGTGTGTGTGTGTGTGTTAGTGTAGGTGTCAGCAGGCATGCGACAGCATCATCTGAATATAAACAATGATATGAATCTGATTTCTGTGAGGCCTGGACACATGAAGCTGCCGCAAAACCGCTACAGTGTAACGTGTGTGTTCCTGCTGAGTGCTGACAGACTTCCTGTGTGTGTGTGTGTGTGTGTGTGTCCGTCAGGAGGTGCTTCAGATGGAGAAGCAGATGGGCGGGAAGCTGCTGGATGAACCCAAGTCTCTGAACTTCAAGGACAGCACACACAACCTGCGTCTGTCACTGCACGATGTCCCACACACTCTCTGGAAGAGCAAACTCATCGCCAAATACCAGGTACACACACACACACTAAATTACACACTAAAACACACACTCACACTAACACGCACACACACACACACTAAATTACACATTCACTAAAACACACACACACACACTAAATTACACACTAAAACACACATTCACTAAAACACACACACATGCATGCAAGCTTGCATACACAAACACACACACACACACACTAACGCACACACACACATGCATGCAAGCTTACACACACACACATGCATGCAAGCTTGCGTACACACACAAACACACTCACATACACTCACTAACACACACATGCACGCTTGCACACACACACACGCACGCTTGTGCACACACACACACACACACACACTAAAATACACACACTATAAAACATACGCTGTTATAATGTTTTCATTTTATTTACCAGTATTTTTTTTTTTTTTCTGAATGTAATAGATAAGTTGCATTAGTGTCATTAATATATATTAGGGCTGTCAGTTGATTAAAGGGGTCATATGATGCGATTTTCCTTTCTCTTTGGAGTGTCACAAGCTGATTGTGCATAGATAAGATCCCTGAAGTTGCAAAGACTAAAGTCTCAAAACCAAAGAGATATTCTTTAT